GCTTTTGGGATGACTGTTGGTGTACTGATCAACCGTTAAGGGAGCGATTTCCTTCTTTGTATCGTATTGCCGTGATGCCATCTACTATGGTGAATGATGTATTAGATACACATAATGGGAGCATCAGTTGGAACATTGTTTTTGGGAGGGGACTACAAGATTGGGAAGTGGATGATTAGACAGTGCTATTGACCTCTTTGTATGACGTGCATATCAGGGTTGGAGAGTGTGACCGCATCAGGTGGATGCTGACAAGGGATGGCATTTTCTCAGTTAGCACTTATTTCAAATCCTTATTGGGATCTGCGGAGAATTTATTCCCTTGGAAGATGGTATGGAAGTGTAAACTGCCTCCAATGGTGGCGTTTTTACTATGGAGGGTAGTGAGAAGACAAGTTTTAATGGCGGACAATCTTCGATTGAGGGGGTTTTATATTACAAATTAATGTCATATGTGCAGAAATGATGGGGAAACGGTTGACCATTTGTTCCTGCATTGTGATGGCGCCCGTTTGCTGTGGAATGATATTTTGGCTTCTCAACATATTGATTGGGTGATGCCACGGCATATGGAAGATTTGTTGAAGGCTTGGAGGAGAAAGTTTCGTGACAAGGACAATAAACTCGTTTGGGATCTTATTCCAGGCTGCATTGTTTGGTGCGTGTGGAGAGAAAGAAACGGGTGCTGTTTTGATGATCAGATGAAGACTTTAGAACAGTTTAGAGAATTATTTTATTTGACATTGTATAATTGGTTTAGTGCTGTAACTTCTAGTCACATAGATGGGCTGCCTAACTCCATGACATTTATTTCTTTTTTAAGTGTATAATACACTTCCTATGTATTACCTTTTAATTAATAAAACACTTGATTATTTATCAAAAAAAAAAAGTATGTGTAAGGTTTAGTTGAGTTGAACTAAGCTTTTTTAATGATATGCCTGTGAGTTTTCAGAGGAAATCTCTCTGCATCATGGAGTTTTTTACTGTTTCTATTCTTGATTTATTTTCAGGGGATTATACTCTGTTGTGTATGTTAATATTCTTTGGATGGTACCATCATTGTTTGTGAGTCGTTAACTGATGCTTGAGTTCATGTGTTTTCTGCTTTGGATCATGAAATATCTTTTCTTGATTAGGAGTCTTTTTAATGCAGCATGCTGAGGTCGAGCTGCTCTTCGGCCTGTAATTGTGGAATCTCTTGTGTGAATAAGCCCTTCCATCAACGACCTGTGAAGAAGATGAAAACAGTTAAGGTAAGAGTTTTATTTATTTTTATTTTTTATTAACATCTTAACAGCTATAATGAATCATTAAATAAAAACAAAAGATCCTTTGTGCGGAAGTTGTTCTCATTTTTTTGTATCATAACACGTTGGTTATGTTTAACTGAAATCGTGGAATATATTATACACCATGAGTATGTGCAGGTATAGCTCAAAGCATAAAAACTTCTTCAAGAGGTTGATATACATTCATAGGTCCCCACTCTCTTAACACTTTTTGGCATGTTGAGTCACTGGACAAAATTGACGAAGAGTGACATGAGATGTTTGTTGGCTAACCTATCTAGTATGACATGCCAAATGTGCATTAGTATTTTTGGAGTGTGTAGTTTTTGATGTTGTTGTAGAGTTCTTATGTAGTAGGTCTGCATCGATGCAGGACGAATTAAAAAATAGAAAGAAGAAGCAAGAAAGAGGGGAGAACTGGATAGAATGGGGGGGAGAAACCGGATAAAAAGCAGAAATTAATGGGGGAGAGGGAAAGTAAGGAGAAGCCATAGGCAACAAACCACCGAAATATTCTTCAATTCATCATAAACTAATGAAATTACATCGCAATTAGGTTTAAATAGTAAAGACTAAAACCCTAAATAGAATGAACTTGGACCAACACAAGCCCAATTAAATAAATAAAATCTAAAATATAAATAAAGTTCCAACTAAAAATAAATAAAAGTTAGTTGTCCTCATCAACTCTCCTGGGGTGGGAGAAAAACTCGACTCTGTCGAGTTGATAGATAATATAGGCTGCAGCCAATCTTATACTCCAAATGTGTCAAATCAAGCCACGGGAGACGATCTTTCTGACGAGCCAAGTAACGAAATTCCATGATTGATAGTACTAAAAACTGTAGCTTATTCCCAAGAATATGATCATACCAAGGGGGCGATCTTTCCTTCTAACCAAGTACTGATACTAGACTCCAAATAACCAATACTCATGCACCTCATTTTCAAGATTTTCACATGATTGTATATAATGAGGAGCATAAAAAGCACGTCGATCTACCTAACAAACAAGGAAGTATTGAATCTTGCCATCATTGGTCAATACAACACGTTCATCTAAAATAACATCAATTTTATTTTTGTGTGCTGTGATAGATGATATTGAAGGAGAAATATTAACATAGTCAATTTGGGGGTCCATAAAGCTAAGTAGAAATAGATCATCAAAGGAAGTAACACGGTGTTGGTAAGTAATGAAGTCCTCAATATTTAAAGCAGAGTGGTAGCCAAAATGTGATGAAAAGGCAATGACATGTGCCTTTGAACCAACATGCTTTAAAACTTTAAAAGTACCGGCAGTACCAGCTTGCAATATAACATAATCCTCAATATTAAATTCAAAATATCGTTTATGCAAATTAGCTTGAGGTTTATATAATACATTGTTTGCGTCAAGTTGCTTATTGATCTCAATATACAAGTCATGAAGATGATGCGCAAATGCTTCAGTTGACATCGACACACTAGCATGTGGGGACATGGGAATAAGGTCTAACGGTCACCTAGACTTATAACTATGAACAACTTTAAATGGATTCAGATCTAGAGACCGATTTACAGAATTGTTATACGCAATTTGAACAGTTGGGGAAATCAAGTCCCAATTCCCAAGATTTTTCTGGACTAGAGATTTGAATAAATTGCCAGGACTTTGGTTAACGACTTCATTTTGACCATCAGCCTGGGTTGGTCTGCAATTCCAAGAGCTCGGATCGATTTGGTATATCAGTGGAGAATTTCGAATTAGTGCTAACCATAGGCAACTGGGTGCTATAAAAGTCACTAGGGAAATCATGGGATACAGAATCTGGAGTCGCAAGAAGAGCTTGGATGCCACCTAAGGAGGTGTCTTCACTATCATCATCAAAATCTTCAAGTTTAGGGTCATATGCTAGATCTTCTAACGACTCTTCTATTGCATTCTTTCGTTCTTCTATGACTAAGGCTCGGTTAGGACATTTGGAAGAGATGTGGCCAAAGTCCTTACAGCTGATGCATAGCAAGTGAGAAGTCCTTGGAGTTGCAAAAATTATACCCTTATTTTCCAAAATTGGAGGAACATTAGACGGAGGAGGTCCTAGAAGGGACTTAACAGGAGCAAGTGGAGCCAATGAAACCGAAGGATGATTGTCATTATGCTTTCTACATGAAGAAGATGACCTTGGACTATCACGACCTTTACACTTGTTTTTCCAAAGGGAAGGAACACTAGACTGGGAAGGCTCTATGATAGACTTATGATGAGATGACGCTAATGAGAAGATGACGCTAATGAGATGGGTGAACGATGGTGATCATGCTTTTCATATGCAATACTAATAAGTAACTCGTAGTCCCGAGCTGAAGAGTAAGTTTGATCAAGAGTAGTGATGCCTCGAAAGAAAAGCTCACGCCCAAGTTCATCTCGTAGACCTTGTATAAACCTACTTAAAGTCAAAGCCTCATCCTCAACGACATGACATTTCACTCAAAATTCCTTAAATTGAGCAATGTATTCAGTTACTAGCCGATTCTCTTGTGTAAGAGTGTTCCATTGGGTAAAAATTTCATGATCTAAGCAACCATCGAAAGTTGGAGTATCTAAGTCAATGTCTCTAAAGAAACGCTCCTTACGATCAGGAAGAGAATGAGTACCATGATGACCATGGCCTTGCTCTCGCTCACGAACCTGATCCCAATTCCTACGATCGTGTTGAAAATATTTTTGATCACTTTGTCCACGATGATATTGTCTATTATAAGACGCTTCAGAATTAGTGTCAGTCAAATGAGGGGTTCGCTTAAAATTGCTCAACTTAGCAGTTAGGTTCTTTCTCTCCTCACGAGTAGCAGTTATATCTAATTGGACAATCGATAAGCTAGTGGCAAGTTGCACTAATTGTCTAGTGAGTGCATTAAATGGGGATGGATCCATGGTCAATGTATTGGAAATAGAGATGACAAGACGACCACTACGGAACTACATGCATTGTAATACCAGCTAAATGACGTGCAATGATGAGATCAATGAACAATAAATGTAAGCAATGAAAAATAACATCTTGAACCATTTTATTTTTATTTTTTTTTTTTAAATCTTAAATTTTGGGGATTAAATAAATCCAAAGCAAACTAATGCTACTGGTACATGTGAAATAACAAAGCAGGGGTCAACACAGTAGTCGAATTCTCCAATCACGTTGATAAGTGGGGAGCAATAAGAAGTCAATTCGTTCAATAAATCCTATCAAGTGGGGTTTAAAGCTAAAATTAAAAAGGTAACGACAACACAAAGAGTTTAATTGATGCAATTTTAAAAATGAAGCAGCAGTATAAACCAATAATAAATAGAGATCACGGACTCCCCGTTGTTTGGTTGATGGAATTGCGACGAGTGGGCCCCAAGTATGCTTGTGTCCTTCCTTTGTGTCAAATGTTTTTTTTTTCAGCTCTTAAAATTATTCCAATTGGACTTTGTTTCGATGATAATTAGTCTTTCCTTAGAGACAAATGGACCCTATCAAGTGGTATCTATAGCTTTCTGCTTGATTGTTGATTGGTGCAGTGATAAGTTGGACATGGGCTTAGAATTGGGTTCCTTGCTATCGGAGTGATGATATCAAAACTGACCTTGCTCAGTATACACTTGAATAGGTGACGGTGTTGCAGTGGCAGAAGCGGCAACAGCGACTGGGAGGCAGTGAGATGGTGGAGGCAGGAGCTGCGACGACGGCTGGGGTGCCGGTTTTGGACAATGGTTGCAGCGAGTGAACGGACGGTGGCGGTAGTGGAATGGGTTACCTGAGCTTACTGTGAAGTAACTTTACCCGAAGAAATAACCAGAGACTTGAAGCAAGATATTTGGTGGCTTGTGGATGGTGTGAGATGTGTTTTGTGGCGAAGATGGCGAGTGTCTCCGGCATTCGCAGTGGATGGGTCGCAGGTGTGAGAGGAGTGGAGGGCGAGTGTCGCAGACTCGCAGGTGTAGAAGGGTCTGATGCGATGACAATCTCGCAGATGGTGGAGAGGGATATGAGCTAGTGAGTTGGGTTCAATTATGGGCTTTGGTTATTGGTTGGAGTTATGGGCTCGAGTATGAGTTGAACTATGGCTTGAAGATGGCTTATTGTTTACTTGGGCTGCTTTGGGGTTTGGACTTGGAATTGATTAGGTTTCGACCGATTATAATTTGGTTTTGTGAATTGGAGAGGCGGGCTAGGGTTTGAAACAACACACTTAATTCATATATCAGCAGCAAATTAAAAGGAAACGGGAGTAATTTTTTTTTTTTTTTTTGGAGAAACTGATGAGAATGTGAAACTAAAATATACGGGCGTGAATAGCACCCGTGAACAGTACGATGAACATTTTTTTTTTCCCAACTAAGATAGAAAATTGAAGGAAAAAAAAAGTTGCTGATTTTACCACAAACTTTTCTTTTGTGCTGTTCCAACAGGAAGAAATTTTTGATAAGGAGAAAAATTACCCAAGTTCGGCTCTGATACCAAATTTGATGCAGGACGAATTAAAAAATAGAAAGAAGAAGCAAGAAAGAAGGGAGAACCGGAGAGAATTGGAGGGGGGGAGGGAGAAGAAGGAGAAGCCATAGGCAACAAACCACCAAAATATTATTCAATTCATCAAAAACTAATGAAATTACATCGCAATTAGATTTAAATAGTAAAGGCTAAAACCTTAAATAGAATGGATTTGGACCAACACAAGCCCAATTACATAAATAAAATCTAAAACATAAATAAAGTTCAACTAAAAATAAATAAAAAGTAGATGTCTTCATCAGTCTGCCATTATGCTTTGTTATGGGCTTCTTTCATTAATGTAACGTGCATCCCCCTTTTTAGTTGACTAATTACTTGTATGAGGGTTGTTCGTAATGGTGGGAGTTAAGAACTTGATAAACATTGTCGGGCTAGGACTGTCACTTGATTTACACTGTTTGTTCAGACAGATTTTCTCATGTCATACCCATATCTGTATATGCTGTCAAGAGTCCTCTTATAAACCCTTCACATTGTAAGAGCCTAGATGCATGGGGATGTTTTTCTTTTAGAACCATCAAACCCACAATATAGTTCCTCTGAATCTGTGAACCCATATAAATTTATTTTGCAATGGTGCAAAACCTTTGGTTTAGACCTACACTTCAAGTTCTTGGATGTTTGTTCTCATTCAGTTCTATAAGAACCTGTAGATGTACGAAACTATTTACGATTAGTGATTACCGTAACATGACGTGTTCTGTTCTTTTCTTCCCCCCCCCCCATGTTTCCAAATACATTTTTTTTCTCACTTTTCAGACTTGTGATTGTGTTCAATATCTATTGATTGATACTCATTCATTTGATCTGTTAAAATATCGAGTTGACTGAATTGTTTTTGTGCAGACTGAGAAATGTGGATTGGGTGTTGTGGCTGAGGAAGATATTAACCAAGGGGATTTCGTGATAGAATATGTTGGAGAAGGTGAAAAATTATCATATTTGCTCATTTATTTTATTAAGAGGTACTCGTGTCTTCATCATAAAAATATAAATTGAATGCACAATGTTACTCATAATTGCAGTTATTGATGACAAAACATGTGAGGATAGGCTTTGGAAAATGAAACACCGTGGAGAGACAAATTTTTACTTATGTGAAATTAATAGAGACATGGTGATTGATGCGACTTACAAGGGAAACAAGTCCAGATACATAAATCACAGTTGCTGTCCTAACACTGAGATGCAGAAATGGTCGAACTGATCCGTATATTCTGAAATTTAATCTCATTTTTCTGTTACCATAGTTCTCACCGAACTTTTTCCTTCTAGGATGATTGATGGTGAAACAAGAATTGGCATATTTGCAACTCGTGATATTGTAAAGGGAGAACATCTGACCTATGACTATCAGTATGAGTTTTCACTTGAACTTTTGAAGCATATTATAACAGCTAGTTGTTTTTCTCCCAAGAATCTTGATCTCCATGTCACTCTAACAACTATAGTAGGTTTGTTCAATTTGGTGCAGATCAAGATTGCTTCTGTGGTGCTATAGGCTGCAGGAAAAAGCTAGGAGTTAAGCCTAATAAATTGAAACTGCCTACTTCAGATGCTGCGTTGAAAATAGTAGCATGTCAAGTGGCTGCCAATTTTCCAAAAGTGAAAGCAGCTCTATCAGGAAAACACGTAAGCTTTGCTTAAGCTGCAAAATCGAAGACACGACGTTCCAATTTTTTTACGTACTCTGTATTTACCTTATGGTTCTTATACTTCTCATTCCTGAATTGAATGGACAAGTTAGCTTAGATTCAGATAGACCGGTGGAGTAGGAATGTTTAGGTGCCAAAACCTGAGTTGATTTCTTTCTTGGTCTGGCTGGGATTGACTTTTAAATTTGGTGCTGTTATTGATTGTTTGCCCTTGCAAATTGTGCTTCATGGAAGATTGAGCCGGAATTTCTGGTTAGGTTCTAGAAGAGGCAAAATAGGAAATGTGACCTACAAGGACCATGTGAAGGAGTTGAAGTAGGAATAGAAGTTTGGCTTTTTGTGTGACAACTTGAAGTTATTATCCATTGAACACATGATCAACAAGGTTTGAACAGGTGGGAGGATATACAGTGCTATTAAGGCATATAGGAGGCATGGCATTTGCTCAAAAGAAATTAAGCCTAAAAGAGAAAGGAAAAGGAAAATAATGGAAACCAGAAGCCCTAAAATAAGTTTAGAGAGTTTGATGCAGTGCCAAGTGTTTTCGCATGCAAGGGTGAGAGCCTAGAGACCCACGTTTCTATCTTCTTCTTCTTCTTCTTCTTTTCCTGGCAGAGGATGGAGAAATGTGAGACAGTCGTCGATGTTATGTAGGACAGTACTGCGTATTATATGCTCTCATGCTCAATACCAACATGCATTTTTTTTATATGTTCTTTACAACATATTTAATGAAAAATATGTGTACTTTCACCACTTTTTGTAGATTTTATAAACAGGCACTAAGTTATTGCAATATCCTTTTTTTGTAGGTCCATTCAAATGGATTTCCTGCTGTGGGTGAGTTAGGGTTACTCCCCAGAATCAATTGTTATCTTGTTTTTAAGTTTTGTCAAAAACTTTGCCTTTCGAATTTGGAAATTTCTGTGATGATGGTTATTTCTCTAAATTTTTCAGGTGGTTTAGATTGTAAATCTGTTTCAAGAAGAAAACCTCGTAATTGCATTGGTTCGGTAATAAGAATACTCTACTCTCTGGACCAAAGGTATATCTGATTCTATGATCTCCTTTGATGTCATTTATTCATCATACTTTTTTTTTCCCAAGCATTTTAATTGAATTTAATTGCATGAGTTGTTAAATGCTCTCTTGGTGATTTAGTTTAATCTATAATTTGCAGTTGAATAATGCTATCTGGCATCAGTGATGAGTCTAGGTGGCTACACGTTATAGGTTCAATTAAATGAATCATGTGACTTTGCATTAAAATGAATCTCAGTTAATGTCATGTAATTGCTACGTAAACGAGTACTTAACATCAATGGTAATGAATAGCATTACTCTTTACGGCACTGAACTTAGCAATTTTATTATCCGTGGAATGAGTCTCACCTTACTATTGCTGTTTGGAACTAGTGTAGTGGTTGATTAGGTTTGATTTCCCCTTTTCCTGGGGTGTTGACATTTGACAACCAAACAAACAATTTTTTATACTGGCCTACCACGTGTGACATGACCAATATTCTTACAAAATATCTGAATATTCTGTTTCATTTTGCATCATATTTGTCAGGTCTTTTGGGATAATAAAACGATTTGATAAGGCCACAAGAAGACATTTGGTGAGGCAGCAACGGCTGTTCTAATGCAATTTTCTGTTTCCAAACGAGAAAAGTTCCATTTACTCATCTTTTTGCTTCGACAGATCATGTTTGAAGATGGCAGCTCGGATTTATTAAATTTGTCAAAAGAGGAATGGGAATTTTGCAACAATTAATGTAACTTGTAAGTGACTTTCCCGCCCACCAATGGGTTTCCATCTCTAGTTTTACGTGTACTTGCGGTCTTACTGGAAAATATTACTGTCGGGGAAGAACAAAATGACTTTAGCTTAATTAAAACGAGACATCATTTCATTACTTTGTATATCAAGCCCGGAAGTTGTTTGCTATATTGTCATCTTACAAAGAGAACGTGTTATTGACCTTGATTTGTTCATTTTGGCAGGTATTAGACATAAGATTCAATGTACGCATTACACAGACATACTGATCCTGGCCAGTTGGCATGTTGTACCAAATGCTCTGTTTCTTGTTCTCAATTCTTTTGGAAATCTTACGAATAATAGCCATTATATTCTTTTTTTCGTTTGGATTTGTATAAGCAATGCAAATGTAACTTTATCATAGAATCTGCATGATTAGAAGTTGTAGAATCAGATGTAGTGTTCGTTCACATTCAATACAGATCGGCCCGAGTCGAAAGTAAAATTTCAAAATTGCAGAGGTTTTGAACCTTTAATTATTGTTGCACGATCAGTCTTGGAGGACAACAAGTGTCCAAATTTCTCTTAGAGTGTGTTTGATTGACATGGAAAATATTACCTAGAAAAGAAAATATTTTCCATCTTTTGTGGAAAATAAAAACCACCTCTACCCAAGGAAAATATTTTCCTTAAAAACAAGGAAAATTAGGCATATTTTCAAAAGTTGGAAAATGTTTTCCGTGGAAAAAAATAGCAATCAAACATTCCAAGTGAAAATTTGGATGGAAAACCAATATTTTCCATGGAAAATAAATGTAATCAAACACACCCTTAAATCTTTACATGAATCTCATAGAACATGTGCCACAGAGTTTTATCCCAAGCTGAGAATCTAAGTTTAATTAACTTTATAGAATTGGACATCTGAGGGTTATGTGATGATTCAATAGAGATTTGGATGGTTTTCGTCATTGAGAACGTATATGGACGCGATTTCTGTTAGATTTTTTTCGACTAGGAACTAGAACAACAAAGTAGCTCTCTAAAATGCTTTACTGAAACACACATTTACCCTATAGATGATAGAAGGCAGTAACATCAAGTACAATGCAACTATACTTCCTCTGTTGGGTTAAGCAAATAAATAACAAATCGAGAAAATAACTCTGGTATGAAATTCAGTACATATAGAGCCAATTTTTATATCCACTTGCACCACGAGATGAAGCAACTGTACTCCTTTGTTCTACCAATGTGCTACTTTGGCCATGTTAAATCTCCTCTTACTGACATCGAGAAACAGCATCTCAAGATTCTTCATAGTGACGAAAAATGAGTACCATATGAGTTCGAAAGAAGATAAAGCATTGATAAATTAAAATTGTTTTGTCTTAAATGGAGATTACGACATTCAAAAATCTAATATTGGCGATAAGTCTGTTAATGATATCTCAATTTAAACCATTAACACAATAGAGTGGACTTCTGATAAGATTTTACCTAAGAGTTTGGTAACAAGCGTCCATTATACATCTTGTCAAGCAACTGCCGTGCATCTGGCCGCCTAAGGAGACCTTTGTTGTTCGGTAAACCAGTCCCCAGGCACACCGGACACACTAGTTTCCCTCTACCTGCACCAAAACCCATTCGTCACATATCATAAATGCTAAATCAACAAAAAAATCGTACCGAAAGGTAATGTGAGAAAAGAAGGAAAATATTTTGAGCCTTGAATATTAGTATTGCAAACAAGGCACAAAGGAGAAAATTAACGGGATGCTTTCACTTTTCCTCGGTATTTAACAAACATGTATAGTGTTAAGGGATAAATTCTCATCAAATACTGAAATATAAACCCACATATAAAGGCTTGAGCTACTTTTAATAATGTTGACATTTTAAGCTGCAACCTCAAGTTTTTAATATCTAGAACAGGAGATCTAATTCCATATCAATCCAACTACGGATTCCAACCTTCCATTTAGATATATTTTGAGCTTAAATTTATAGCAAGAGAGGTTCTCCATTTGGCATTTTTGTGGAAAATTATTTCCAAATGCAGTTGAAATGAACACTTTCTAGATTATGCTGTTCATCGTAATTTCCTTTAAATATGATTTCTATCGCCTTCTTCCATACCAAATTATAAACAATATAGTTCAACAGCCTAAATGAGCATCCACGGAGAATCATAAGTGAAGAATGAAACTTCATATTAATGAATTTATGAGTTGTGAAGAGTTTGATACCGTAACAATTTGGACATTCTGTGAACTCGTAAACATCTTTGGCCCTTTTTCTGTTCAAAGCTTTCCACTTTCCCGTACCACCACACATATCACCTAAATAAAGATCAAATAAGCATCTTGCGATCAGTCTAGGTTACTAAAAAGATTTGTAAAAAAATTAGATACAGCTGAATGTTTCGAAGAACTCAAACATCAACTCGTGTGTGCTCAATATTCGAATGTTTCAGAAAAAGGGTTCACAATATTCAAGTTCCCTTAAGCAGGCTCCGGAGGCAAGATACTTAAAACACATTTAAGGGCAAGTTTGTCAAGGCTCATAATTGCTTATAAGCTAATCAAACTCTATTTTTATACACACATTTCTTAGTACCAACATCTTTAACCTACCTTTTAACCACACGCTCCTTGAGAACCTCTGCTTATAACAAATTATAAGCTCTTACAAACATGCACTAAGAACAAAAATTATCATCCCATAATTTATCAGGTTTCCCTTCACTTACCTTCTATTCTTACAAATTCATCTGCTAAAACGAATTTTGATGTCGAAAACAGCTTAAACGAAACAAATAAAAATGAACACACGAGAAATAGTAAACTACAAATTCACGCATAAATGCATAATAAAAGGCTACTGATGGTAAAAGAAAATTCAGGGGTTTGACCTCATTATTTGCAGCCTATAAGTGAATGGTATATGAGTGTAGGAAATTAATTTACAGCTCTTCGAAACTTACAGATAATATGAAATAAATAGTGGAGGAAAAGCAAACATCTATACTTACAGATAATAGCACCGCTACCCCCACAATTTCGACATACAGCTCGCTCTTTGCCATCCAAGGCATTTGCATTTTGTCCAGAATTAGAAACACCTGGAGCTACTATCAAAGCTGCAGTTGAACATAAACAGGCTAGACACTGGCGGCGAGATGTTTCCATTTGAGATCCCTGTTTCAACAAATGAATATATACGTGAAACATCAGTTGATGTAAAGAAATTCAATACTCATTTTTGCAGTCATTACTATAGATGAAAATGAGCTACAATAGGACCAGGGAGATAAGAATACAGTTCATACAATAAGTTATTTTTGGCCAATATCAAACAGTAATTTTACCAACTTTTTGTATTAGAAACAAAACCATCCAACACAGATAGAAGGTGCCACTACTAGTTTAGCCCCCGTTTGGCCCCCATTAATTTTCATTCCATTACATTTAATTTTTCTCTCTCCTATTTTCAACTACATAATCTTTCATAAAATAATATTACATGTAAATCAAAAAAAAATTCTTCTTTTTCAACAACTCATTTTTCAAAAAAATAACACTATTCCACCCATTTTCATTTCTACAAAATGGGGGCCAAACGGGGGCTTATAGTGTGGGAACCCAACATGACCTCTGGGCTTCAGATCACTTCTAGTATTTAAGGCCAAATGAAATATGACCGTGCTGCTACTAGTAGGATATATTTCTGGTTAGAAGTGTACTGTCTTCAAATGACTCTCTCTCTCTCTCTCTCTCTCTCTCTCTCTGTGTGTGCGCATAATCAAGATGCCATTAAAGCAAAAATACCAATGGTGTATCTTCATTACATGCTGCACACTCATCTATCAAAATCAGACAAACAATGTTCATTTACTTGTACATGTTGAGATAGATTGACTGTGTAAAAAGAATGAAACAATTCTTCATCTTCCAAACTGTACATCTCATGTTCTCCCCACCCCACCCCACACACAAAGCACATTAAAAGGGACCCACATTCCAGGACATCACCACATCCCTCAAATCTACTCCACCACTTCAACTAAACAACAACCTAAAGAGTATCCAACTAATCTCAAATAAACATAAAAAGATCCAAGATACCAGCAGCCACTCTACAACGAACTAACCAATGATTAGCATACTTGTTGTCCTACTTAGATAAGAAGCACAAGTTCGTACACACTCTTCTTCACCTTATAAGTTTATCATTATAAAATTAACACCTGGGAACACTATTCAAGAGAAGAAACAATTGTACAGGCGGCCCTAGAACTCCAGGTGGATGCCCCTCTGGCGTAATGATTCTGCCAATTTATGGAGTACATTATCCAAAAAAAAAAAAATAATAAAAGAAGAGGATGAGGTCAAATTGGTTCCTCAACAAGTTAAACAAAAGCTTGCTGAGCAACCAGCGCCAAGAGATATTGTAGACCATATGAAGGTTAGTTACACACTTACACTTTTAGCTATGTAAGGGAATTGCTAAGAAGAATTTAACAAGCTTCAAACGCATATAGTTTGAAGGTCAACTGGATAGCAGAATTCCTACTATTACTTCAAGGCCACGCAATTTACCCATTCACTATATCTAATTTTCAGCTAATGAGATTTTTGGTTACCAGGCCCGAAGCTCGACTTAGCCTACCATAGCTTGATCCAGCACATGTAATGCAGAGAAAATAAACTATACAGCTATTGAAACCAACTCATCCCATACATGAAAAGTATATCATGGTGTGGCTCAAGCACCACTATTTCGATCATATTCATAGTCCAGCATATCAGCTACTCTACTGCCGCTGCAAAACCTTTACCCTATAAACATTGCATTACTAATATATCATTTCTAAATCATTAAGTAAAGAACATTAAGTCATAAAACAGTAGAGATACATCCCAGAGAAATTCTCAAGGCCCAATAACCCCGAAGGTAATTATAAAATGTACTCATGCCTTAGATGCCTAGTCAGCCAATCACAAAATAACTTCAGAAACTCAAAATTTGATTGGGATCTTATTTTCCAGACTTGATCAATAGAGTCAGAGCAGTTTTAGGTAGTAGATAAAATCAGGCACCCAATACAAATCATCTTCTCTGGCTCTCAATTTCCTCTTTGATGAAGCGTGTGGCACATAAACATGATAAAATAAGACATCTGAAGAAATGCTGATAGGTCACATAAATAATACTGAGCCTTGTGATTTGGTAGCACTCAAGAGCAGTGGTACCAAATTAAGTACATAGATATTTGTAAAAGAAACCTTTTTGTTGATAGGTTCAAATGAGTGGTCAGAAACACCAGGCGAGCCACTCTCATCTTCCAAGCTGGATCTCACTTGAACTCCAACTGGCTTCGCATTGGCTGCTACAAATTGTGAAAATAAAAACAAAAAACATTCATTTTCAATATCAGTTAACAGCATCTATCCAACTCCACCGCAAGACCTTCTAAACTTTTCTCTTGGAATGAAGATAAAAATGAAAGTTAAATACATAGTAATTCTAGGAAAAAAGAACAAAATGTTAATCTCATTTCATGAATTTCTCACAATATCACTTTTTTTCTCCTACCAAAAACTGTGTACCTCATTTTCTGCATAAGCAGTATTCACATAGAGAAAAATAAAGTATGGTAAAATTCAAGAAAGGATCATGCCCTTCTGGCCTTTCATATCTTATCTGAAGCTTTCTAGTTTTTAGAATCAATAAAACGAGCATGTGCTAGTCCACAACAGGTTCGAATTAATAGGGATAACATCAGGAAATGCAAGTACCAAATTCAACCTTTATTTCACGAGCAAGAACAAACAAAGATAAGAATTTGGGTGTGCCCAGAGAAAAAGAGCAGAAACTCACTCTGCTTGGATGAAAATTTGGGTTGTTGCAAAGGGAATCTTGAAAGAGCTGAGGAGAGATGAGAAGCCATCTCTCTTGCTTTCTATCTATATATCAGTATATGTATCTTCTTCGCTAACTAATCCGAAAGAGATTCTCTGGCGTCGTCTGGTTTTTCGTCACGAAGATTTTAGTTTTCGCTTTATAGTTGGGGCGGATATTTGGGTCATGCCTCTTTGACGTAAAGCAGTTGATGAAGCCGTCGATTTGCCGAGTTTAAAACTTTTCAACTTAATTTAATTTTTTCTCTCTCCCACTTTCAATCTTACAATTTCCAATAGAATAATATTACATTCAAATAAAAACTTTTCAACCACATAATTTTCAAAAAGAATAATATTTTCCCATTATAAATTCACATAATGAAAGCCAAACGAGGGCGAAATGATACAATATTAATTAACAAGTATGTAATTGAATGAAAAAGTTGATTAAGTTTAAACTAGTTTAATGATAAAGTGTCAGGCGACATTATGTTAGCTAATATGTCAATGATTACGTCGCTATAGCATGATTCTGAATATTTAGCCCATGAGCAAAATTCATTTTCAATCATACATTTCATTATAAAATAATTATATATATAAATTAAAAGAAAAAATCCTAATTTTTAATTATATATTCTCACAAAAAAATATGTGTATGTGTGTGTGAAGGGCTCGGGCATATACTTATAGTCACTAGTATATTTTTTATGGGGATATTTCTCCTTGCACAGGACCCTGTGGACCAGGTGTGAGACAAGGGGGTGGACCGGGTGTGAGACATGGGGGTGGACCATCCACCCCCATGTCTCACACCCTGTGCACAGGGTCCTGTGCATTTAGCACAGCCCTTTTTATGGAGTTTTGCCATTCAACTAGGGCCAATGACAAGCCCTGTCGACAGACCTTTGCCATTCAACTAGGGCCAATGACAAGCCCCGTTGACAGATCAAGATTGCCACCTCGACCCTGAATTTAAACTCGGGATTTAATCCTAGATTTTGTAGAAGCTTTGTTTTTCATGAATGTTGTTTGCTTGATAAATTTTCCCCACAAATTTTAGCTTGTAAAACTTTGATTTTAACCATACATTTTATGGAATTCATAATCTTTGTCAACAATATATTTCTTCAATTTTTATCTAATTATGCTAACTTTTTTTTTTTTAATCAAAAATAATTTCATGTGGAATCGTGTAAAATTGGTTCTTTAGTGGATGCCTTACTTCTTCAGTTAGAAAAATGCATGTTTAGGATAAATATAAGCTCCTGTTTGTCCCCCATTTTTTAGTAATGAAAATGAGAGAAATAGTATTTTTTTTAAAAATGAATAATTGAAAAGGAATGAAAAATTTTCAATTCACGTGTAATATTATGTTATGGAAGATTGTACGATTGAAAATAGAAGAGAGACAAATAGAATGTAATTTAATAGGGGTCAAACAGGAGGTGAATTTAGTTTTCTGTTTTCAAGTTATTTTAGTTTTTTTGTTTAGCAGAACATTGAAAACATATTTGGTGTGGTATTTCTAAAAATGTATTTTCGAAAACAATGATAAATTTATAATATAAAACTCAAAATATGTTCTTACCATTTTGAGTATTTTCAGTAAAAATTTTGAACACACTCAAAAGTCAAAATATAGAAAAGTGTTTAAATAAAAATTAAAAAGTCTTAAAAATAAATTTATAAAATCCTAACAAAAAATATTTAAAAATAAAATTCAAGAAAAATGATTAAAAAGGTTGGTAAATTCTAAAAAAATAAAAAATACAAATTTTGAAAAAATAAAAATTCTAAAGAAATAAAATTATAAAAATTTCTGGAACAATAAAAATAGTTTAAACTCTTAGTGATTGCATATATAAAAATTTTATAAAAAATATTTTTTTTAAATTTTCTATATTATGAATTCAATTTACTATTTATTTTTATTTTACTTTTGTAGAAAGAAAAAATATTGCAAGATTCACGACTTGAAAATTTATATATTATATTAATATAAAATTGCTCTATTTTTACTTAATAATCGAATTTCATTAAATTAAATATCATAAAACAATTTTTAAAAATTTCAAATTAAGAGTTTATTTTTGAGTGATTTAGATAATTGATTTTTTGACCGTTAAGAGAAAAGTGAGGTCTACCTATAAGAGAAGAAATCAAATATAACGGCTTGAATAGTGAAATAATGATCAAAAAATCAATTTTTTGGAGGAAAAAATCACTCCTAAACAGGCTCTAAATGTATATTTTAGTTTTTTGTTTTGAGAAATAATTTTTTAAAATGACCAATCAAACGCGTTTTCAACAATTTTTAAATAGGCTCTCAAAACAAAAAAACTGAAAATGAAATAATGTTTTTATTTTTCAAGAAAAGAAAAAGAGAAGTAGAAGCTAAGACTTTAATTAATATTTGAAGTCTAAATGATGTTTCTTTTCAAAAGAACTTTTGTTTTATATTTTTACTTTTTGCATAAACTCTTTGCTTTCGATTTTCAAGAGTTTTTATTTTTATTTTTATTAACAGATGATTTTTGAGGTATTCAGAGGGTATTCTTGAAAACGTCTCAACTTTTTGTTTGATTTTTGATGTTTTGATATGTGTCATAAAAATATCATCTTGAAGGAAATGCTATCTCTAAAAGAGTTAACTAGAAGAATGCAAAACCTTGGGTTAACATTTTCTCTTTTTTGGTTGTGATAGCTGTAAGCAATGGGTGAGTCCCAAAAAAAATGTATAAATAAAAAATAGATAAAAATTATAAATTCTGTAGTTAAAAATAATAACGATCAACTTATAAGCATTTAAAAGCTTTTCCAAAAATACACTTACTCTCATTTGTGTTTGGTGTTTGCTATTCAAGAAGGAATTATGGGCTTGAGGATTACATCAAGAGCGCAAGCCAATATTTAATAAAGATAAAACATGGGAAATTCCAAGATTTATAAGGACATTTGATGATTTAGATAATTTATTGTTAGGTTTTGTAACTCAAATGTGGTTAGGAGTCTTGTGAAATTGCATATTTGATTTTTACTTGGAAATGAAGATTGTATCCAAATTGAATAAAGAAAGAAAATTCTCTCTCTCTCGAAGTTCTATGGGCAATTATAACCTAGTTTTAACGAATTTTCTTACTTAAAAAGACTCTTCTAGGGTTTGAAACGTGATATATAAATATAAGACTTCTCTGTCAGTTTTGTTTAAGCATTATTGTTGTGTTTGTAATTTCTCTCCATCTTGTCAATTAATATATATCGTTCATCCGCGATTAATTATCTTTGTTCTTCTTTACTTTTAATCTTGTTTCTTGTTGTGGTCTTTATTACTTCATATTGTGTTATTAATCTCATTTATTATAATCCCTTCGAGTCAACAAGTGGTATCAGAGCTTGGTTCTTCTTCTGTGGATTGGTTGACGTTTTTTCAGAGATGGCTACCATGAATAACATTCCGTTGTTGGATCGCAATATAGGGTTTTCTTTGTGGTAAGTAAAGATGAGAGATATTCTGACGCATTGGATTTGGACGATGCGCTGCTGTGTTTTGAGAAGATGCCAGCTAATTAGATAACAGAGGAGAAATAACAAAAGGATCGGAAGTCTTTATCATGGATGCATCTTCATTTATCTAATAATATTCTGTAGGACGTCTTGAAGGAGAAAATAACGACTGCTTTGTGGTTAAAACTTGAGCAGTTGTGTATGACTAAAAGTCTCACTAGCAAATTGGCTTTAAAGCAAAAGTTGTATTCCCATCACATGCGTGGAATGAAGATCACTGGAAGACTACCTTACCATGTTCAAAGAAATTATCGCAGATTTAGAGACATTGCAGGTTAAGTATGAAGAGGAGGATCTGGCATTGATCCTGTTATGTTCACTGCCAGCCTCTTATTCTTCGTTTCGGGATACCATTTTGTATGGTCGGGATACTTTAACTATAGATGACATCTATGACACTTTGCACTCAAACGAGATGTTGAATCATTTGGTTGGAGCTACATTAAGGGATGAGGAAGCTCTTGTATTTCATGGTGGTCGATGGAGAGACAGAGCAAAGAATAACAGCAATTTGTTTTGCTTCTACTGTAGACGTAAGGGACATATTCAGAATGATTGCGATTAATTGCAGGCAAAATGTGATTTAGCTGCAAATCAAGGAGCGCAGCCTTTGACTTCAAACGAAACAAATTTAGGTGATATTAACCGTGGTATCTAACGTGGAATCTAGGCCTTGACGAGGATTGGATTCTCGATTCAGCATGTTCGCATCATATATGTTTCAATCGAACTTTCTTTCAGACATATGAGGCTATTCAGTAAGGTGGAGTTGTAATGGAAAACAACCAATTTTGCCGTATTGCTGAGATCGATTGAGTCAAATTTAGGCTGCGGGATGGAACAATTAGAATAATTGATTATGTTCGACATGTTCCAAACATGAAACGGAATCTCATCTTGCTTAGTACTCTGAATGCAAAACAGGGTATAAATTCTCTAGTGGAGGTAGAATCTTGAAGGTCCGAAAAAGTGTCCGGGTTGTACTAGAGGGATGGAGAAGGTCTCAGTTGTATAACTTGTAGGGGAGCACAGTACCAGTTAAGAGACATTTGGACAAGTTCAGTACCTTAGTGGATATTCAGTTTGGTACAGTACCTCTTGTGACGGGCAAAGAGTATTAGTGATTCCACTTTGCCACCAATTTCAACAGTTGTACTATGTACAGTTGCTAGGCTTGGATCCATTGAGTGTATGTACTATGGTGTCAGTGATGTCTGTAATACTTTAGGGAACGTTGAAGGCTACAGTTCTAGCAAGGGGCCTTTTGTTCAGGCATTTTGTATTGTTTCTACTATAAGGTGTGCTTCGACCCTGTTTGGTAAACATTAATTCTTTGGTGGAATTTTGGAAACTCGGAAGTAGGGTTCAGGTGTCGCTTGTAGATGCCGTGCAGAGGACGATGGTTTATATGGAGAGTTATGGTTATTACGTTGAGGAGATTGATCATTTCATTTCGATGCAAATAGATTTATTCCTTGGGTAGAGAAAATTTTGCGGAGCTTCGCTCGTTGCACTGGAATTTGAGTCAATTTGGAGATTGTTAGGTTTTATGACTCAATTACGGTTAGAAGTCATGTGAGATTGCGTATTTGAATTTTACTTGGAAAGGAAAATTGTCT